AGGGCAGCGGTTAGGGCGCAGTGCGGCAGCGTCCAAGGGGGCGGCATGCTGGGGGTACTGTGGGGTCTGAGCCAAAGCACCACAGAACCATGGACACCCACCCAGCACCATGGACAAGTGACACCATGGACACCCATCAACTTCACACCATAGAACCCAGCACCATAGAAGCCAGCACCATGAACACCCAGCAACGTCATCCACTATGCACCCAGCACCATGGCCACCCATCAACTTCACACTCCATGCCCCCAGCACCACGGACACCCATCAACTTCACACTCCATGCCCCCAGCACCACGGACACCCATCAACTTCACACTCCATGCCCCCAGCACCACGGACACCCATCAACTTCACACTCCATGCACCCATCACCATGGCCACCCGTTAACTTCACACTCCATGCACCCATCACCATGGCCACCCGTCAACTTCACACTCCATGCACCCATCACCATGGACACCCATCAACTTCACACTCCATGCCCCCATCACCATGGACACCCATCAACTTCACACTCCATGCACCCATCACCATGGCCACCCGTTAACTTCACACTCCATGCACCCATCACCATGGCCACCCGTTAACTTCACACTCCATGCCCCCATCACCATGGCCACCCGTCAACTTCACACTCCATGCACCCATCACCATGGACACCCATCAACTTCACACTACATGCACCCAGCACCATGGACACCCATCAACTTCACACTCCATGCCCCCAGCACCACGGACACCCATCAACTTCACACTCCATGCCCCCAGCACCACGGACACCCATCAACTTCACACTCCATGCACCCAGCACCATGACCACCCATCAACTTCACACTCCATGCACCCAGCACCACGGACACTCATCAACTTCACACTCCATGCACCCAGCACCACGGACACCCATCAACTTCACACTCCTTGCACCCAGCACCACGGCCACCCGTCAACTTCACACTCCATGCACCCAGCACCACGGCCACCCATCAACTTCACACTCCATGCCCCCAGCACCACGGACACCCATCAACTTCACACTCCATGCACCCAGCACCACGGCCACCCGTCAACTTCACACTCCATGCACCCAGCACCACGGACACCCATCAACTTCACACTCCATGCACCCAGCACCACGGCCACCCGTCAACTTCACACTCCATGCACCCAGCACCATGGACACCCATCAACTTCACACTCCATGCACCCAGCACCACGGCCACCCGTCAACTTCACACTCCATGCACCCAGCACCACGGACACCCATCAACTTCACACTCCATGCACCCAGCACCACGGACACCCATCAACTTCACACTCCATGCACCCAGCACCACGGCCACCCGTCAACTTCACACTCCATGCACCCAGCACCACGGACACCCATCAACTTCACACTCCATGCACCCAGCACCATGGACACCCATCAACTTCACACTCCATGCACCCAGCACCACGGACACCCATCAACTTCACACTCCATGCACCCAGCACCACGGCCACCCATCAACTTCACACTCCATGCACCCAGCACCACGGACACCCATCAACTTCACACTCCATGCACCCAGCACCACGGCCACCCATCAACTTCACACTCCATGCACCCAGCACCACGGACACCCATCAACTTCACACTCTATGCCCCCAGCACCACGGACACCCATCAACTTCACACTCCATGCCCCCAGCACCACGGCCACCCATCAACTTCACACTCCATGCACCCAGCACCATGGCCACCCATCAACTTCACACTCCATGCACCCATCCCCACGGACACCCATCAACTTCACACTCCATGCCCCCATCACCACGAACACCCATCAACTTCACACTCCATGCCCCCAGCACCACGGACACCCGTAAACTTCACACTCCATGCACCCAGCACCATGGCCACCCGTCAACTTCACACTCCATGCACCCAGCACCATGAACACCCATCAACTTCACACTCCATGCCCCCATCACCATGGCCACCCGTCAACTTCACACTCCATGCACCCAGCACCATGAACACCCATCAACTTCACACTCCATGCACCCAGCACCACGGACACCCATCAACTTCACACTCCATGCCCCAATCACTATGGCCACCCGTCAACTTCAGACTCCATGCACCCAGCACCACGGACACCCATCAACTTCACACTCCATGCACCCAGCACCATGAACACCCATCAACTTCACACTCCATGCACCCAGCACCACGGACACCCATCAACTTCACACTCCATGCCCCCATCACCATTGACACCCGTCAACTTCACACTCCATGCACCCAGCACCACGGACACCCATCAACTTCACACTCCATGCACCCAGCACCACGGACACCCATCAACTTCAGACTCCATGCACCCAGCACCATGAACACCCATCAACTTCACACTCCATGCACCCAGCACCACGGACACCCATCAACTTCACACTCCATGCCCCCATCACCATTGACACCCGTCAACTTCACACTCCATGCACCCAGCACCACGGACACCCATCAACTTCACACTCCATGCACCCAGCACCACGGACACCCATCAACTTCACACTCCATGCACCCAGCACCATGAACACCCATCAACTTCACACTCCATGCACCCAGCACCACGGACACCCATCAACTTCACACTCCATGCACCCAGCACCATGAACACCCATCAACTTCACACTCCATGCACCCAGCACCACGGACACCCATCAACTTCACACTCCATGCACCCAGCACCATGAACACCCATCAACTTCACACTCCATGCACCCAGCACCATGAACACCCATCAACTTCACACTCCATGCACCCAGCACCACGGACACCCATCAACTTCACACTCCATGCACCCAGCACCACGGACACCCATCAACTTCACACTCCATGCACCCAGCACCATGAACACCCATCAACTTCACACTCCATGCACCCAGCACCACGGACACCCATCAACTTCACACTCCATGCACCCAGCACCACGGATACCCATCAACTTCACACTCCATGCACCCAGCACCATGAACACCCATCAACTTCACACTCCATGCACCCAGCACCACGGACACCCATCAACTTCACACTCCATGCACCCAGCACCACGGACACCCATCAACTTCACACTCCATGCACCCAGCACCATGAACGCCCATCAACTTCACACTCCATGCACCCAGCACCACGGACACCCATCAACTTCACACTCCATGCACCCAGCACCATGAACACCCATCAACTTCACACTCCATGCACCCAGCACCACGGACACCCATCAACTTCACACTCCATGCACCCAGCACCATGAACACCCATCAACTTCACACTCCATGCACCCAGCACCATGAACACCCATCAACTTCACACTCCATGCACCCAGCACCACGGACACCCATCAACTTCACACTCCATGCACCCAGCACCACGGACACCCATTAACTTCACACTCCATGCACCCTGCACCATGAACACCCATCAACTTCACACTCCATGCACCCAGCACCACGGACACCCATCAACTTCACACTCCATGCACCCAGTACCACGGATACCCATCAACTTCACACTCCATGCACCCAGCACCATGAACACCCATCAACTTCACACTCCATGCACCCAGCACCACGGACACCCATCAACTTCACACTCCATGCACCCAGCACCACGGACACCCATCAACTTCACACTCCATGCACCCAGCACCATGAACACCCATCAACTTCACACTCCATGCACCCAGCACCACGGACACCCATCAACTTCACACTCCATGCACCCAGCACCACGGCCACCCATCAACTTCACACTCCATGCACCCAGCACCACGGACACCCATCAACTTCACACTCCATGCACCCAGCACCACGGACACCCATCAACTTCACACTCCATGCACCCAGCACCATGAACACCCATCAACTTCACACTCCATGCACCCAGCACCACGGACACCCATCAACTTCACACTCCATGCACCCAGCACCATGAACACCCATCAACTTCACACTCCATGCACCCAGCACCACGGACACCCATCAACTTCACACTCCATGCACCCAGCACCATGAACACCCATCAACTTCACACTCCATGCACCCAGCACCATGAACACCCATCAACTTCACACTCCATGCACCCAGCACCACGGACACCCATCAACTTCACACTCCATGCACCCAGCACCACGGACACCCATCAACTTCACACTCCATGCACCCAGCACCATGAACACCCATCAACTTCACACTCCATGCACCCAGCACCACGGACACCCATCAACTTCACACTCCATGCACCCAGCACCACGGATACCCATCAACTTCACACTCCATGCACCCAGCACCATGAACACCCATCAACTTCACACTCCATGCACCCAGCACCACGGACACCCATCAACTTCACACTCCATGCACCCAGCACCACGGACACCCATCAACTTCACACTCCATGCACCCAGCACCATGAACACCCATCAACTTCACACTCCATGCACCCAGCACCACGGACACCCATCAACTTCACACTCCATGCACCCAGCACCACGGCCACCCATCAACTTCACACTCCATGCACCCAGCACCACGGACACCCATCAACTTCACACTCCATGCACCCAGCACCACGGACACCCATCAACTTCACACTCCATGTACCCAGCACCATGGCCACCCATCAACTTCACACTCCATGCACCCAGCACCATGGCCACCCATCAACTTCACACTCCATGCACCCAGCACCACGGACACCCATCAACTTCACACTCCATGCACCCAGCACCACGGACACCCAGCACCACAGCCCCCAGCACCATGCCCCCAGCACCACGGCCTCCAGCACCACGGACACCCATCACCATGCCACCAGCACCATGTACACCCATCACCACGGACACCATCACCATGTACACCCATCACCACGGACACCATCACCATGTACACCCAGCACCACGGACACCATCACCATGTACACCCAGCACCACGGCCGCGATGCGGCTATTACCTCAGGCTGACCCGGACGCTGCCGTCGTCTGCCGCCATGGAGCCACGGAGACGAAGAGGCGCCGCCTCCTCTTCCTCCACCTCGTCAGCTCCTCCTGTCACCTCGTCACGTCACCACCTCCCCCCTTACCACCCCATCATCCTCCACCTCCTCCTACCCTCGTCACCCACTCGTCAACCCGCGTCTGCGTTGCCTCCTCCCCTGTCAAACCTTCTCGACCGCTACCCCACCTCGTCTCCTCCTCCTCCTCTCTCCCTCCCTCCTATGCTCGCCTGTGACCCACCGCTCGCCCCACTTCTCGCCCACTCGCCCTCCACCTCGTCACCACCACCACCTCCTCCACCTCCACCTTTGCTCCCCACTCAGCTCGTCAGTGACCCACTCGCGACTCGCCCCGATCACTCCTCCTCGACCTCCTCCTCCCTCTCGTCTCGTGGGCCCCGGGTGGCCCCTCCCCTCCAGCTCCTCGTCACGTGACCACATCGTCTCCCCCCCCCACCACTCGAGCCCCGCCCCTCGCTTCGGCGTGCGCGCGCGCGCGCACTCTCTAACCCAGCCACGTGACGTCGCAACCAGCAGCGTCCAATCGCGTGCGAGCTCGGGCCTCGCCGTCCAATTCTCATTGGACGCTGAGCCGGCACGGCGGCCAATGGGGGCGGGGGGGCGGGGCGAGGGTCCGTGCCCGGCGGTGCGTGGCGCGTGATTGGTTGTAGATTGGAGGGCAGCAACACGTGGGGCGGTGCAGCGTGGGTGGCAGTGTCGTGGGTCGGTGTAGATGTGGGGTCGGTGTAGATGTGGGGCGGTGTAGATGTGGGGTCGGGGTCGTTGTGAGTCGGTGTAGATGTGGGGCGGTGTAGATGTGGGTCGGTGGGGGCGGTGTAGTTGTGCGGCGGTGTAGTTGTGGGTGGGTGTTGCCGTGGGTCGGGGTCGTCGTGGGTCGGTGTAGACGTGGGGTCGGTGTAGTCGTGGGGTCGGTGTAGTCGTGGGGCGGTGTAGTTGTGGGTGGTGCAGGATGGGGTTGGTGGCAGTGTAGTTGTGGGTGGTGCAGGATGGGGTGGGTGGCAGTGTAGTTGTGGGTGGTGCAGGATGGGGTGGGTGGCAGTGTAGTTGTGGGTGGTGCAGGATGGGGTGGGTGGCAGTGTAGTTGTGGGTGGTGCAGGATGGGGTGGGTGGCAGTGTAGTTGTGGGTGGTGCAGGATGGGGTGGGTGGCAGTGTAGTTGTGGGTGGTGCAGGATAGGCTGGTGGCAGTGTAGTTGTGGGTTGGTGCAGTTTGGGGTGGTGCAGTGTAGTTGTGGGCGGTGCAGTGTAGGGATGTGCAGTGTAGTTGTGGTGCCGTGCAGTCTGGGCCGTGTAGAGTGGTGCAGTGTTGGGCGTTTTCGTGTGGGGCGGTGCAGTGTGGGACGGTGTAGCGTGGTGCAGTGCACAGTCGGGGGTTTTGGTGTTGGGCGGTGCCTTGTGGTGCAGAATGGGACGATGCGGTGCAGGGCCGTGCAGTGTGGTGCTGTGTAGGGCGGTACAGAGTGATGCTGAGTAGGGTGGTGCAGTGTGAAGCAGTCTAGGGTGATGCAGAGTGATGCAGATTGATTCTGTGTAGGGCGGTGCAGAGTGATGCAGAGTGATGCTTTGTAGGCGGTACAGTGTGATGCAGTGTAGGGTGGTGCAGTGAAGGGGAGTGCAACGCAGGGCGTTGCAGCGCAGGATGATGCAGAGTTGTGCAATGCATGGCAGTGTAGCGTGATACAATGCATGGCGGTGGATGACGGTGCAGAGTGGTGCAGTGCAGTGTGATGCTGTGTTGGGTGGTGCAGAGTGTTGCTGTGTTGGGTGGTGCAGAGTGATGCAATGAAGGGTTGTGCTGTGTGATGCTGTGTATGATGGTGCAGTGTGATGCAGTGTTGGGTGGTGCAGTGTGATGCAATGAAGGGTAGTGCAGTGTTATGCAGTGTTGGGTGGTACAGGTGGTGCTGTGTAGGGTGGTGCAGGTGGTGCTGTGTTGGGTGGTGCAGTGTGATGCAGTGTTGGGTGGTGCAGGTGGTGCTGTGTTGGGTGGTGCAGTGTGATGCAGTGTTGGGTGGTGCAGGTGGTGCTATGTTGGGTGGTGCAGTGTGATGCAGTGTTGGGTGGTGCAGGTGGTGCTGTGTAGGGTGGTGCAGTGTGGTGCTGTGTAGGGTGGTGCAGTGTGGTGCTGTGTAGGGTGGTGCAGTGTGGTGCTGTGTAGGGTGGTGCAGTGTGGTGCTGTGTAGGGTGGTGCAGTGTGGTGCTGTGTAGGGTGGTGCAGTGTGGTGCTGTGTAGGGTGGTGCAGTGTGGTGCTGTGTAGGGTGGTGCAGTGTGGTGCTGTGTAGGGTGGTGCAGTGTGGTGCTGTGTAGGGTGGTGCAGTGTGGTGCTGAGTAGGGTGGTGCGGTGTGGTGCTGAGTAGGGTGGTGCAGTGTGCTGCTGAGTAGGGTGGTGCAGTGTGGTGCTGAGTAGGGTGGTGCAGTGTGGTGCAGTGTTGGGTGGTGCAGTGTGGTGCTGAGTAGGGTGGTGCGGTGTGGTGCTGAGTAGGGTGGTGCAGTGTGCTGCTGAGTAGGGTGGTGCAGTGTGGTGCTGAGTAGGGTGGTGCAGTGTGGTGCAGTGTTGGGTGGTGCAGTGTGGGGCAGTGTTGGGTGGTGCAGTGTGATGCAGTGTTGGGTGGTGCAGGTGGTGCTGTGTTGGGTGGTGCAGTGTGGTGCTGAGTAGGGTGGTGCAGTGTGGTGCTGAGTAGGGTGGTGCAGTGTGGTGCAGTGTTGGGTGGTGCAGTGTGGTGCAGTGTTGGGTGGTGCAGTGTGATGCTGTGTATGATGGTGCAGGTGGTGCTGATTAGGGTGGTGCAGTGTGGTGCTGAGTAGGGTGGTGCAGTGTGGTGCTGTGTTGGGTGGTGCAGTGTGATGCTGTGTTGGGTGGTGCAGTGTGGTGCTGTGTTGGGTGGTGCAGTGTTGGGTGGTGCAGTGTGATGCTGTGTTGGGTGGTGCAGTGTGGTGCATTGTGGTGCTGTGTTGGGTGGTGCAGTGTGATGCTGTGTAGGGTGGTGCAGTGTGGTGCTGTGTAGGGTGGTGCAGTGTAGGGTGGTCCAGTGTGGTGCTGAGTAGGGTGGTGCAGTGTGGTGCTGTGTTGGGTGGTGCAGTGTGATGCTGTGTAGGGTGGTGCAGTGTGGTGCTGTGTAGGGTGGTGCAGTGTGGTGCAGTGTTGGGTGGTGCAGTGTGGTGCTGAGTAGGGTGGTGCAGTGTAGGGTGGTGCAGTGTGGTGCTGAGTAGGGTGGTGCAGTGTGGTGCTGTGTTGGGTGGTGCAGTGTGGTGCTGTGGAGGGTGGTGCAGTGTGGTGCTGTGTAGGGTGGTGCAGTGTTGGGTGGTGCAGTGTGGTGCTGTGTAGGGTGGTGCAGTGTGGTGCTGTGTAGGGTGGTGCAGTGTAGTCCAGGGTGGTGCAGTGTATGGTGATGCAATGCAGGGCGGTGCAATGCAGGGCGGTGCAATGCAGGGCGGTGCAATGCAGGGCGGTGCAATGCAGGGCGGTGCAATGCAGGGCGGTGCAATGCAGGGCGGTGCAGAGTAGTACAGGGCGGTGCAGAGTGCTGCACCCGCGCCCCCTTGTGGGCTGAGTGTGATTGGCAGGCTGCCACTCGCACTAACAACGCTGGGGAGGGGGGGGAGATGCAGACGGGGGAATTAATTCGTTTGTCGATTCATGAAGTCGCTCCTTTTGTTCCGGTCGCGTGTTACTCAATCGAGTGACGAGATCTGTTGCAGTGACTTTGCACAGTGGTTCTGTCACCTCGCATCCCGGGCTCGGTCTCTGGTGCAAAGTGGTGCACTGCTCACTGAGAGATATCCACATGGACACGACTTCATGTCCAGACACGGTACCAACATTACAATATCAATACCCTTTGTCAACATCACCAGCAATCAGGGTCCATCCACTGCTGGATGAAGGCCTCCCTCCCCACGCCACCGCCGCCACTTCTCACGATCCTGCGATGTCGCGATCCACACAGCACCTGCTCCACACACGAGGAGCTGATTGTCATGATCGCTTCATCTCCTACCGGTGGTAGTCGTCTCGGACGCCGCGTTCCATTCCTTGGCTGTTATTGTTTTTGACCGTCGGCCCTGATCGTCAGTTTAACACGTAGTAGTAGGAGGCTTTCGCGACCAATATCATCCATAATATATGTTTTTTTGGGGGGGGTTAGATCGCATTAATATATACATGTGTCGTTAAACCCGCCACCACCCGACACAGCCAATTAGTGATGGTTTGTCACGTAAACAGAACGTGCCAATTCGTCACTAGTACAGCACTAAGCGGTGTGCTGGAGAGCAAATCCACATTTGTCACCGACTCAGATTGTCAATGCTGCTGTACTAGTACCGAATTGGCACGTTCTGTTTACGTGATAAACCTTCACTAATTGGCTGTGTCGGGTGGTGGCGGGTTTAACGACACATTTATATATTTACTCGATCTAACCTCAAAACATATTATGGATAATCTTCATTTCTGGCCGTGACGCCTCGTGGCCAAGGCCCACTGACGTTTGCCCGTGAACATCTGGCAGGCGACCAGCATTGGTTCAAGCAACGCCTGACACTGAATGTCTGTATGTTGAACTTCTTTCGCACCGTACGTAGCCAATCGTGCTCATCGGACGTGCGCAATGTCGAGTTTGGCTTCCGAAATGTTTCAGTCCCAGAAGACGGTGTGGCTCATGGGATGTGTAGACAACTACTTGCATGCACATATTGTTTAACTGATAAGCTCATATTTCATTCGCGTTTCCATCACTCTGTTGATTCGTTTGATTTTAACGTCATCTATTTTTTATTATTTTTTATTGTTTAATATTACTATTATTTTATTATTTCCCTTCTACGTGACTTTACCGAAAGAACCAAGAATATTAATATCTATCCACTCATCTTCTTGGTTCTTTCGGTAAAGTCACGTAGAATGGAAGTATGTCTTCTCGACAGACCTGTTCTTCACCTGAGGACGGCTGCTTGCGTTGTGGCCGAAACGTCGTGAGAATTATTTTGTTATGTTGTATTTTTATTATTTTATTATTTCCATTCTACGTGACTTTACTGAAAGAACCAAGAAGATGAATCCCTGCAGTCACGAAAGCTTTAAATCGAAATCGATCCACTCCTTCATTCACAACACAGTGGTCACGCAGCTTCGAACGCACCGCGTCGCATCACGCGGGGGTTGGTGGCTCACTCGGGGATCATCATGATGCGTTCGACTCCCCAAACCCGCTAGGGCGGCGAAACGACGAGGAGATGCCAGTACAGCAAGTGGGCTCTTAAAAAAACAGGAC